GAGACAGAAAGTAGAATGGTGGTCTCCAGGGGCTAGTGAAGTGGGGGTGGGGAATCATTATTTAATGGCTACAGTTTCAGTTTTGCAAGATGAAAAGAGTTCTGGAGATGGATGGCAGTGATGGTTGCACAACAATAAAATATACTTAATACCACTGACCTGTACACTTAAAAAATGATTAAGATGGTAAATGTTACATGTATTTTACCACAATAATAAACATTGGTAAAAAAAGAATAATGGCTGAAAATTTCACAAGTTTTCTGAAAGATACACATGTACATGTTCAAGAATCTTAGTGAAACCCAAACAGAATAAATATGAAGAAAATCACATCTAGGCACAGTATAGTCAAACTGCTGAAACTCGAGATAAAAATATAATTTCGAAAGCAAACACATTATATACAAGAGAACAATGATTTGAACAGCTATCTTCTCAAAACAAACAACGGAGGCCAAAAGGCAGCAAATATCTTTAAAGAGATGAAAGAAAAATCTATCAACCCCAAATTCTATACCCAGTGAAAAATCCTTCAAGAATGGAAGCAAAATAAAAATATTTCTAGATGAAAGAAAACTAAGAAGATTTGTCTGCAGCAAATATAGACTATAAAAAAAATAATAAAGTAATTTCTTTAGGCTGAAAGGAAATGACATCAGATGGAAACTTACTGATAAATTTCTGGGTAAATATAAGACAATTTTTTTCTTCTTAATTTTCAAAAACACACATAACTATTTAAGGCAAAATATATATTTTGTCTTGTGGTATTTGTAAAGTACATTAAATGTAATATACAGGACAGACATATAGGATAAAGGATGGTGGTGGAGGGGAAGGGAAGAAATAGAACAGTAAGAGTGTAAGGTTTTCATATTTTATGTGAAGAAGTACAATATTAATGCTAAATAAATCGTGAAAAATCCCTAGAGGAACAATTTGTTTAAATAATGTAAAGAGGTATAAATAAAAGACTAAGGTATAGATAAATTAAAATAGAAATCTAAAAAAAAAAAAAATCAAATAATTCAGATTAAGTCACAAAAAGATGAAAATCAAAGGAGACAAAAACAAAACAATAAAATAAAAGACATAAATCTAACAACATCAATAATTACACTAATGTTAATGAACTAAATATTGATCACAAGGCAGAGGTTGTTAGAATGCATAAAAGAAATAAAAGCAAGATACAACTACAGCTTTCTACAAGAGATGTATTTTAAATATAAAGGCACGAAAAGGTTAAAGTGAATGACTAAAAAAAGATATACCATGCAAACAGTAAGCATAAAGAATGGCATATCAGAGAAAATATACTTTAAGACAAAGAGTATTACCATACGTAAAGAGAAATATTTTATAATGATAAAACAGTCAATTTGTCAGGAAGACATAAAAATAAAATCTTCAAACATGTTTTTCTCCTCCGCCTGCCCAGAACATTCTTCTCCTCCTCTTCACCTGGCTAACTTGTAGACATCTTTTAAGATTCAGATTAAGTATGGTTTCTGCAGAGTGTCACTCCTCAATTTACTACCCTTAGTTAAAGCTCCTTTCTCTATGCAAACATAACCCTCTACACTATGCTCTAACATATAACACACGTAGTTACTTTTTTCTAACTCTCTTGTGTGTTGAATACAGAACATATGTAAAAACACAAATGTGCACAGAAATAAATGTATATCTCAATTATCTCAGTTATCATAAAGTAAACACCACATAATAACCTCCCAGGATAAGAACAGGATTGACATGAATTCTCTCTTACGTCCTTCTTCAATTTCTAGTTCTTCTCTTCCCTCAAAGTATCTACTCTCCTTAATTTCATGGTAATTTTAATTATAGTTTTATTATCATTTGTCCTTAAACACTATAGTTTAGATTTTGAACTTTCTAAAAATGGAAATCCGGTATATCTTTTCATATCTGAACTATTTTGCTCCACATTAATATGGTAGCTATAGTTCATTAATTTTAACTTTAGTGTTCCATTGAATGAATATATCATAATGTTCGATAACTATGTTGGTTGTTTCCACTTATAGCTACCACAAATAATGCTTTATTAATCATTTTTGTACATGATTCAACATGCACACAGATTCTATTGGGTAGAACTGCTGGGTCATAGGATATACTTTTTTTTTCAACTTTGATAATGCTACACTATTTCCAGAGTGGTATTACCAATATAAATGCTCAATATTAGTGTATTATATAATTCCCATTACTCTACATCATCACCATTTGGTATTATAAATTAATACCAAATATAATACCAATATAATAGAACTAGCTATTCTAATAAGAAGGTAACTGTGTCTCCTGGTGGTTTCAATTTACATTTCCTTGATGACAACTGAGATTGAACGCGCTTTCATATGTTAATTGGCCAGTTGGATATCCTCTTTTTGAAGTGCCTCTTCACCTTCTTGCTTATTTTTCCATTAGGTATCTGTCCCTTTTACATTAATTTGTACTTCTCTTTATATCCTGGATATAAGCCCTTTGTTAATTATGTGTTGTAGTGTCTCCCTTATCGGTATCTTTCAATGAACAGAACTTTTTAATTTTAATGTAGTCAAATTTTTCAAACTTTTCCTTTGTCACTTTACCCTTTGTGACTTAAGAAATCTCTCTCTATCCAAAGTCAAGATAATAGTCTCCTATGCTACCTAGAAATATTAAGCTTTAGCCTTTCACATATAGAGGTATAATCGCTGATTTTTGTATATGGTGTCAGGTCAGAGTAAAGTTTAATTATTTTCCATATAGGTATCCAATTCCTTCAGCATCATGTATTAAAAACACTACTGCTCTGGGTGCCTCTGTTGTTATCAATGGTTCTGTTCATATTCTATTCCATTGCTCTATTTTTCAATCCTTGCACGAACATACACTTTTTTAATTTAGAAAAACAAGTTCTTCCACTTTATTCCTCTCAAATACTGTCTCAACTATTTTTGATCCTGCCATTTCAATATAAATTTTAGATTCAGTTTGTCAGGTTTCACAAGTGAATAAATTAAGTCCTATCAAGATTCTGATTGGGATTGAATTCAGTGAAAAATCAGGTTTGATTTTTCACATCTTTATAATTTTGAGTCTTCCACTTATTTAAATATTATTTAATTTTTCAATATAGTTTTATAGTTCTCTGCAAAGAAATTCTGTATATTTTATTGTTGTTGGATTCATTGCTAGTTGATATTTTTGATGCTATTATAAATAATACATTTTTTTTCAATTTCCTTTTCGAAGTCTGCTGCTGATGTGTGTAGAAGATAAACTGATTTTTATATATTGACCTTGGTTCTCTTTTTCCCCATTAGTTTCATGAAAATGCTGCTCCACTGCCATTTGCTTTGTATGATGATGTTCAGAAATCTGATAGCAATCTGATTTTTTTTCTTTGTGACTTTTTTGTGACCCAGTAGGAAGCTTCGTATCTAACACACTGATTGTTCCCTCACATTCCTGTGACCACCACACACCTATCATCTTAATTGCTGGCATCATTTTCTGACTCACAGGCCTGTAGTATTCATGTACTTCTTTTCCGACCTTGACTGGACCACTGGTTTTTTAGTAACTCTAGAGATTTAACTTGATTTCATCTTGATAGCTGTTTTTTATTCCAAGGTTTCCCTTAGATATTTTAGTCCTGGTTTATCTATTCTTTTACTAATGACCAAAATATCTGAGTGATATTTTGCTTTATTTTTACTTTGCCTGATTATAATGGCTGAGAATATAATTCACGAGGATAAGTTTCACAAGCAAGTGTTAGCTGTTGTCTGGAAAATACTATCATCAACAAGTGTTGAAAGAAAGAGAAAAAAATGTGGTCCTGATAGTAGCATAGGAAAGTTAACTGGCAGAGTGCCAAATCTGAGGTTTCCTTTGATACTGTTTGGTTTGAAGGCTTAAAAAAGAAGTTAATATATCTTCTTTATAGTTTAACAGTCAAAGAATTTAAGAAGAATTTTTAAATAATGGCAGAGGTTTTCCGGAAAAAAGCTAAGAAACCTCTGAAAAAGTCTATTCATTAGAGAGAAAACCTAAGTACACACCAGTTGTTTTGAAGCTTTCCAGAGAAGAAAAATGGTTTTCAAAAAAATGTAAGCTATAAACAGAGGGTCACTAGAAATAATAATGTTATTATAATACCAAAGTTACTTTGTAATTGATAAATAGAAAATAAGAGAGGATGTGAAGTAATTTGTTCAAAAGACCTAAAGACAGTATTTTGGAAGAAAGGCTAGTGACCTTTCCTTAGACAATTCTTCCAAATACATTTTTAAAATATTCTTCTAACTTCCATGTAAAAAATAATGAAGATTCCCTGATAGTCATCCTAATAGAACTAACTTCTAACTGGCTAGGTTGTAGCCCAAACATTGTTTTGCAAGCCAATTGCTTTAAACTTGGGATGTAGCCCAAACATTGTTTTGCAAGCCAATTGCTTTAAACTTGGGATGTATTTTCTTGCAGAGGCAAATTAGATATAAAGTTTGTTCTTAATGACCATTAAAACTCAATAAATTCACTCTGTATTTGAAACAGAATACAAAAGACATTATTAACCCTAACCATCATGTATAGGGAGGTTTGTAATGTGCTTAATATCTTACCAGGGACAATAGTCTCTCATCTGGGATGCTGAAATATGAGCCTGCCAGGAACAAGATCTCCTGTAGGGAAGGAGTGGGTGGGTGTGGTTGGGTGGAAAGGGGACGGGGGTGTGGGGGGGTGGGCGGTGTTAAGAACTGACTAAGAGCTCCAAAGGGTTGGGGTCTCCCAGAGTTCTATTCTGGACACACTTGCACATCCCAGAACAACTCTCTAGTTACTCTCTTTATATTTTCAACAGTAAAGGCACTCCAAGAGAAACAATAATTTTTAATATATAACTTCTTCGTTTAAGAAAAAAGGCTTCTATATTGCTGTTTTAGCTCAGTAACTTGTGGTGCTGCCCAGGTAATTCTTACCTGTACTTCCACTTGCCGTTCTTTTTTGGCATTAAGAAGCTGCTTCTGAAGAGATTTTATTTGCTTCCTTCCTTTCTCCTCCCTAGAAGAAATAAGAATGATTTGTGTTTAGAGCAGTGCTTCTCAAACGTCAGTATGCACAAAGATCATATTGGATTTTCAAGAATAGATTCCTGGGCTCCACCCCCAGAAATTCTGATTCAGAACCTCTGGGATGGGGCCCTGAAATTTGTATCTCTAACAAGTTCCCAGGTGATGTTAATGGTTTTGGTCCATGGAGTACACTTTCAGTGACACTTTTAAAAAGGCTGTGATTTGTTTTAGTAAATTGAAGGAGGATTTTCTGGCTTATCAGTGTTGTATATAAAATAGCTACTGCTGAGAAAAATTAAATGGAGAAGGAACAGGAAGAGGAAAAAGAAGAATTGTTTTATTCTGAGCACTTCACATATTCTTACCTCACAATAACCTTTATGAAGTAGTCTCTATCATTATTCCTATTTTACAGGTGAGGAAAATGAAGCTTAGAAAGCTGAGGTAATGCTGTGGTAGACATGAGAATGTGTCTCAGAGGCCTCCAACTACAGGGAGTGTCAGCGAACAAGGGTTTTAGCTTTAGGCTCTGAAATCCTTCCCTGTGTGTGTTCTGAGGCCTCATATCCTACTGTCTTCTCCTAGCCAATTTTTGAGTGTGGCAGGGATACTAACACAGGCCCTTCCTTGGAGACCAGGACTTCGTTGATGATTGACTTTGGCTCAAGGGCTCCCTTGATGACCTTGCTGAACAATCTTTAGACTGCAAGGCAGTCTCTTCCACCCAACTTTCCCTCTCCTTCACTTGGGGTCAGTCCAGCATTGGGTCTGAAGGCTCCCTCCCACTTTCTCTCATATAAGTGCTTCTCCTAATAAAACCTTTGCATGACTAATCTCATCTTGGCATTTTTCTCTCCGAAGATACAGGCTAACACACTTGCTACAGTTACACAAACAGTAAATGGCACAGCAGGATTCAAACTCAGTACTGTTTGAATGAGAACTTAACTACGTTATGTTATTGTTTCTATTTGCTCTCAGAAACAATTGTTTATCTCCAGCAATCCCATTACTCATGTTTAAAGCAAATAAAATAACAAAACAACACAAGAACAAACAAACAAGACAACTGTCTTAGCTCGGGCAGCTATAACAAAAATATCAGAGGAGCATGATTAGTTAGGTCAAAGAGAGAGTGTTTATCAATATCATATCATTCATCCTTTTAAACAGTACAACTTAGTGGGTTTTGGCATACTCATAGCTGTGTAACCATTACGACTGTCTAATTCCAGAACATTTTCATCAACCCAGAAAGAAGCCCTGTACTCATTAGCACTCACTCTCCATCCCTCTCCCCACTGGCCCTCTATTTATGAAACTTCTCTTGGGATAGGGGGCATGGTCAAGGCTTAGTATAGAACACAGCTCAAGGGAGCCTCATCTTATATAAAAAACTAAATAGAAAATCTTACCAGAAGGTAGGGGGAAGGCGGAAGGGAGAAAGTAGATGGGATTAAAGGGGTCAAATATGTGATGACAGAAAGAAATCTAACTATGAGTGGTGAACACACAATGCGAAATGTATATATATGCCTTACCGGTATAATAAATAGAAAATCTTATCTATTTTATACCCCTCACTAAACAGTATGTAACTTTAAAAAATATGGTAACAAAATATTAAACCATTTGTCATCAATTTACCCAAATCTAAATATAATTTTTCAATTTAAGTAAGTCTAAATTGAAATCTATCTAATTGGAAGAAAATTTAAAGAAGATATTATTATAAATAATCACATATGTAAAATCGATCACTGGCAAACTGTCTACATTGAATGTTAGGCTATTTTTGCCCTCCTATGTAATGATACACATATTCTTCTTTTTTTATTTTTCTTAATCAACTTTTTCAAAATTACAAAATAATAAGTGTACACTAATATTTCAAAACAGAATAGGAATGTATGAAGAAAAATGGACAATCTGCCATCTCCCTTCTTCCCTCCCATTCCACTCCTATGAAGTAACCAATGTTAAACCTTTTGATGTACATATTTCCACACCTTTTTCTTACATAAATGAATGAGCATATTTTCTTGATAAAAATCATGCTATATACATGATAATGTTTTTTCACTTATCTGTGTATGAGAAACATCCTTCCAGATCAGTCACACAGCTCTAATCCATTCTTTTTAATAGCTGTATTTTTTTTATTTCATAGAGTTAACAATCATTTAAGTATGTCTCTGTCGAAGGACATTTATGCTATTTCTAGATATTTGTCATCATGCTGCAATAAATATTTTATAGGTACAAACTAATTTTTTTTTCCTATAGGCTAGATTTCCAAAAGTAGGAATGCTGAGTCAAAGGGTTTATGTATATGGTTAGCTTTTTTGTTAATATGTTTATTTTCTCCCTTAATAATGTGACATTATAGAAAATGCTAAAATATTAAAAGCTTTTTTTTTGGAAAAAAACACCCATATGTTTATACATTGGTGTATTTCCTTCCAGTTTTCATTTTCTATACATGTTTTTGTTAGTTTTATTATACAGATGTGATAATATTATATTATTTACAGGCTATTTTTCTACTTAAAATTGTGGCATTAATATTTTCATCATGTTACTACAACTTTGTAAACAATACTTTTAATAGCTTCATTATATGATCCATTAAACTATAGACACTCTCTTTGATTCTGTAATTCTACACATAGTGACTTAATTTAATGGAATAATAACAGAGTCAGACATTTGCTGATATATATCTTCATGTACAAAGATACAAATTAATACATTATTTGCTATAGCAAAAATATGGAAACCTAAACATTCATACTCAGGGGATGTTTAAATAAATTATGGAATAGTACATATGTAATAGTGAGTATTATACCATTAAAATTAGTCATATATATTTTTATTTTGCATAGATAAATCACTTCAAAAAGTTATACAACTTCATTATCCCACTAGCAGTGTACACAAGTGCTCATTTCTTTGCTTCTTTGCCAGCAATAAATGTAGCTATTATTGTAATTAGGCACTATGTGCCAGAAACTATCTTAAGTGTTTTTTATGTATGAATCTAATCTTCATAATAACTCTAGTACAGAATTTATTACCAATACTAAGGTGCAAAGGAAGAGAAACAACTCAAGGTAAAACAATCTCACCTACACAGACAAGATAAACACTTTTCCATTGTGTGTACTCAAGGTTCATATAAAGAGAATTTTATCTTGGTCTCAAAGCATTTTGATTCTATTGAATTTCTTAAAGCATGAAAATCTTGGGAATCAGCTGAAAGTCTCTGGAAAAGAAACGTTCCCTGGGCATGTTTTTATTATTATTATTATTATTATTATTATTATTATTATTATTATTATTATTGTTATTATTATCATCACGTGTTATTGTTCAGAAATTTTCAGTGAACTCAGTCTTAGGAGAGGTTACTGTGAGATAGAAGGAATATATACGGTAGATACAGATAATTGAAGCCTAGAAATCTGAGTTATTGTCCTAGCAGAACTAGGAATAGAACCTAAATTTCGGACTTCCAGTTATCCTCCCTGGAAAGCACAAATGTGATTTGCTTTAGAAATCAAGGACTTCTGGTAAGAGTTTTATAGCACTTTAAGATACAACAAAGCAAATAAACCTAATATTACTCTGACCTGTCAATGATTTCATAGAAATGCATTTCATTTTCCTTCTCTTTGCTCAAAGCTTTCAGGAGGTTGGTGAAAGTGCCTGAATTTTGCAACTCTTGCATTGTATCTGTAATCACATCACTGAAAAATTGTCTGTAAGGAGAAAAAAATGTGAGTTAATAAGA